GGGGCCTCGTCGGGGCGCCGGCGGCTGCTCCTCTCCCGGCCCCCGGGGACGAAGCGAAGCAGACGGTTTTCACTTTATGGGGAAGAAGGTCCTTGGTGCCCGTGGCGCTGCCACCTCTCCTCGGGGTTGCCCTGTAAATAGCGGTGAAATTGCTATGCAGTAACGTAATGCTCTTCTCCAGTAATAAAAATCAGATCTGTAAAAAATCCTAAATCCAACCTACTGCTGAGGTGGGGCCCAGAAGTACACCAGAAGTCTGTGAGCTTTCTTTCGAAAAAACTCTTGGCGGTAGTTGTAGTCATTCTTAAACTTGTCTGTTTTTCTTAGTGATTTTCTTACCCACCTCGTTCTGTTCAGGTTAGGCAGAAAAATCAGCAGGTTATTTCCTTGGTGGACTCCTCTTCAGGTGGTTTCGTCGGCTGTTTTTTGTCCAGAGGATGGTGGTTCTTTCTGCAGAGCTGATAGGTGTTGCGGACTCTCTCCCATGGCGTTGCAGAGCTGCGGTGTCAGCGTTGTGTGGGAGCACCTGTGCCCCAGTCAGTTTGCCTAGTTACTACACTCTTAATGCATTGGGTTGATTGGAAAGGATGTCTTTACCTACGCGAGTGATGGAGATGGCTTTCTTTTAAGTTGAGAGAATTGAGACTTGCACACAAAAGTAGATGGTGTTTGGTGGAAAGGTTGAACATGGTAGAGTGGAGTTTGGCACCTTTTCTGAAGAACGCTGCTTGGTTTTGTTTATGTTGTTTCATGTTATAGCATCTTATCTTGGTCCGCTGTAAATCTTCAGGTTGTTTTCAGTGTTGTGAAGAGGAACGTATGCAAGCTGTGGTTGCTATACTGGAAATACATCAAATAACTTGGGTTTTTCTTCCAAATGTAAAGTTCTTTGTGAATGAAAGGTTTATCTGCTTCTTAAAGCAGGTGTGTTTTTGCATGAAACTGTTTTTTGAGGTGGTTACATTCTTTGCTGCATTATAAACTACTGTTTTCCACTGCTGGATATGAAAGTACATAGTTGAATTGTTTTAATAGAGGGTTGCCTGCTTCTCTTAAAAGTCTAATAAAAAGAAAAAAAGGTCGTCTTTTCCTAAATGTGTTTGCCATTTTAATATAAGTCTGAAGAGTGTAGTTGAATCTTTCTCACTTGTAAGTCTGCTGTTAATGTTCTGGAAGATCTGTGAATATCTGTGTTTTGAATCCCTCTGTTAGGGAGTTTGTGGATGGTTTGGTAGTACTTCTTTCTTGAAGTGCGCTTTGGTAATGGTGCTTATAACTGAAAAAGGCTTGTTTGGGTTGCGTGAGGAGGAGGTAATTAGCTGTTCTCGGTGTGATTCATTCCTGGATAGTTTTCCAAAGAATCACAATTTTAGTATGAGGTGGTCTACTAAGCAGTGAAAGGGCAAGGGTTTTCCATCCCTTCTTTAAATACAAAATACATGTGTTGCCACTTAAAATGTTTGGCTATTTTGTTGAGTTGTAATCCTGGGAAGATCATTTTTATACAGGGATGAAAAAAATGGGCATTTGATCAGGATTTGTATAATGAAATGACAGATTGCAACTGAAAATACAGTACCTTGGTGGGGAGTTCTTCCTGTGTGCTCTGGAGAGCTGATTGCCTCGAGGTGGCTGTGAAATATCACTTAGTTTCACCAGTTTGTGTGACTGATGAAGAATTTTTCATGTGCAGCTATAGGGAGGTTTTCTGAGGTGCGGCTTATGTTGCTTTGTTCAAGTAAGAAGATGTACAGTTGATGGAAGGAATGTCATTATTGATGGAGCATGGGTTTGTTAAAATTCCGGGGGTTTAAATATTCTTGCTCTTTGCCTTTGAAAGAGTAATTTGTTCACCTACTGGTGATGGGAAAATTTGAAAGATCCTTTGAATGTTTTATGGTTCTTTTTATATTCTTTGTGGAAGGCATATTCATTCTTGAAACTGTACAAAACCTGTGCAATGCAATTACCAACAAGTCATACAGGGATAAGGTATAAGAAAATGCACTCTTACTCTTGTGGTGGTTGTACGTCTTGGTGCCTTGTGGTGGTCGCAGGTTTGAACTTTCTATATATACAGTTCTTTGTGGACTGTTACTGCTGTTGTGTTGCCTGCATTGATTTTTGCCTCCATTTATTCTTTATTGCAGTCTAAAAGTTGGTTTTAATTGGTTGCCCACAGGATTGGCTTGGCTTCTGCTACTTGTTAAGAAAAAAACATCTGTCTTTGCAGGTAAGAGCCTTTGAATTGAAGACTTCTTTATATGCATATCGAGTATATCGTAAGAAATATTTGAAGCTTTTGGAATCTGTGATTGGTATCAAAATACTTGGGTCAAATAATCTACAGCTAGTCTCTGACTCTCACTGGTGATGGTGGTTCTGGCAATGTTCTTATAAACAGAATTTTCTGCGAAACTAATGTTTTGTTGTTTCATCAGCATGTGGTAGGCTGGAACACTCTCCCAGTTATTTTGCACTGTTGGAAAATGTAGCTACTTTGCTGCAGGCCACAGGTCTGCGTGTTTCTAACTATTGGAGGTTAGAAGTGTACAGTAATTGGTTCTAATTGGGTTTCGCAGCATTTAAAGGGATCAGATAGGCTCAAATTAGCTGAGAGATGACTATCTTAATCTAACAGGTTGACTTTAGCCTTTTTTAAAAAAAAGCAAAACTGTGGTCTGCAGTTTTAGCTCTTAGTAGACTGTCTCAACCTGGATACTTAAAATTCCTTCTACAATACCAATTTTATTCCAGTTCTTAATTTTTGTCCAAGAACTGCCAAATATGTTGTGTGTGTGTGTGTACTGTGTGGGTATTGTAGTACTATACTCCTCAGGGACTAGGTTGAATCTTCCAAACGTTCCTTAATTTGAAAAATGCACATATCTAAAAGGCTAGTCTGGTGTTTCTATCAATTTATGCATATGACCCAAATTCTGCTTATTTTACTGACTAGCACATAGCTGGAAGACGGAAGAAGTAATATTGTCATCTTGTACACATTTTTCCAGTGTAACATCAACGTTTTCAAAGATGTTGCTGTCAAGACACATAAACATGCTGTTAAGGTTCATCAAATGAGTTGAATCTGATTGTCAGCAGCCCTTTACTCCATTGTTTATCTCTGCTTGCTAATGGGGATGGCTTGTCTGTAGTACAAATCTAGGATTTTGTGCTTCTGGTCTCTAGAAAAATACAAAACACACAAAATGATAACAAAAACCACATTTGCCTTAAAGTAACTCTTTGTACAGGGGGAAAAGCAGGCAGCCTGAGAACATTTCTAACAGCCCGACAAAAAGCCTTTAGTCCAAAATTAACAGGCATGTAGCCTGTTCTAATGTTGCCTCTGCATGTATGTCGATCTTTACAAGTGAGCAGTGAAATATTTGAGCAGGCTTTGCTTTTTCATTAGTTGGAAGGTTTGAGTGAGTAGGTTATTGTCTCCTAAGTGCATTTTGTTAAAAAATTGGGCTTGTGAGTGCTTTAAAATGAGATTTGTCCCTTTTGGTCGGTGTGACTTTTCTTTAAATCATAGAATTGAAACTAATACTTCATTAAAAGCACTGAAATCCTGAAAAATTTGAAGCAGTTATGTTTTGAGTTGACAAATACTATTTTTTTTCCAAAAAGATTTGATGGGAATAAAGAAGTCCTTAAAGTTCTTTTTATTCATACCATGGTACCGTTAACTCTTGCTTAATAGCAAGCATCTGCTTAATATCATGCGTGGAATTAACTATACTGAAGTCATCACAGCTCACTTTTCTAGCAACTGTATGACTAAGCAGCTATTTGGGGTGGTGGTTTTTTGGGGTTTTTTTTTTGGGTCAATAGTGGTGTAGTGGACCTAAATAGAATACTTAGTAACAAAACTTGAAGATCTCTCTTAGCATTTATCATGAATTTTTGTATTCAGTGCAAGATTGAAACACTTGCTTTATCCCAGAAGTTATGTAAATGTTCAAATGCTTGAACTCTTAAGAATTCTTTTGTGACCTTATCTGTTAATTTGTCTTCTGGGCTAGATTCATGGAATCATTAGTAAATGCAGTTACCTAGCAGGTGTCAGTTCTGATAAAGAATATATGTTGTTCTAAACGAGCAGATCGGAGCAGAAAAATGTTCCTAAGTTGCCTTTGTTGAACTAATGGCTGTATCAGATTGTCATTCCTTTTGCATTAGTAAGGAAATCATGGAATCACGGAATAGTTAGAGTTGGAGGGGACCTTGAAGACCAGCTAGTTCCACCCCCCTGCCCTGGTCAGGGACACCTCCCACCAGCCCAGGTTGCTCCAAGCCCCATCCAACCTGGCCTTGAACACCTCCAGGGATGGGGCAGCCACAGCTTCTCTGGGCAACCTGCGCCAGGGGCTCACTTCCCCTCACAGGGAAAAATTTATTTCTAATATCTAATATATATCTTCCCCTCTTCCAGTTTAAAACCGTTCCCCCTCGTCCTGTCTCTCCCCTCCCTGATTCAGAGTCCCTCCCCAGCTTTCCTGTAGCCCCTTTAGGGACTGGAAGGGGCTGTAAGGTCTCCGTGGAGCCTTCTCTTCTCCAGGCTGAACAACCCCAACTCTCTCAGCCTGTCCTCATAGGAGAGGTGCTCCAGACCTCTGATCATCTTCATGGCCCTCCTCTGGACCTGCTTCAGCAGGTCCATGTCCTTCATGTGTTGGGGTCCCCAGAACTGGATGCAGTACTGCAGGTGGGGTCTCATGAGAGTGGAGTAGAGGGGCAGGATCACCTCCCTCGGCCTGCTGGCCACACTTCTTTTCATGCAGCCCAGGATGTGGTTGGCTTTCTGGGCTGTGAGCACACATTGCCAACACATGTTGAGCTTCTCATCAACTAACACCCCCAAGTCCTTCTCCTCAGGGTTGTCCTCAATCCATTTTCTGCCCAGCCTGTATTTCTGCTTGCGATTTCCCTGACCCATGTGCAGGACCTTGCCCTTGGTGTTGTTCAACTTCATGAGGTTGGCATGGGCCCACCTCTCACGCCTGTCCAGGTCCCTCTGGATGGTATCCCTTCCCTGAGGCATGTTGACTGCTCCACACAACTTGTTGTTGGCAAACTTGCTGAGGGTGCACTCCATCCCACTGTCCACATCTCCAACAAAGATATTAAATAGCACAGGCCCTAGTACCGACCCCGGAGGAACACCACTCGTCACTGCTCACCACTTGGACATCAAGTCGCTGACCACAACTCATTGATAACTAACTATCTCCTAGATAACTAAAAGTAATCTCCCATTTAAAACAAGAAACTTCAAATTTCTAATTCCTGGTGCATAAAAATTTCTGAAACTCATTTCTTTGTATAATAGGTAATAGAGAAAAGGTAAGCCTCCTAGCAAGAGTTGCTAAGAGTTATTACTTTAGTTTTCAAAGCATAGGTGCAGAACCAAGGATGCTTTTATACTGTTTGCTTGCCTCAGGATCATCTAATCTAATTCAAAAGCAATCCTGTAACATAATGTAAACTTCGGTTTTACAGTTCCCTTTAGTATGACTTCCTTAAAGTAGGCAGAATTTTCATTTTAACTTAGTCTCAGAGATTGCTACCAATGTCAGGCAAATTCAAAATAAAACTACAGTATAATTGAAAAATGCTGATGTTTGAAAACAGTGCAGGAGGTCTCACATGTTCTCATAGTTGTGTGCATAGCATAGATATTTCTTACTTGGACCTGCTTTGTTTCCACATGGGCCAGTTTTGCTGTTGGAAACTGACTGGGTGATGAAATTTATTCTCGAGTTAAATGTGTTACTGTAAGAGAAAAATGCAAGATGTTGCTTTGGTTACCTTGCCACAGAGATGTGGAAGTTGCTTAAAAAAAAAAAATAAATCCCTGAGGCTTAGTATATATTCCCCTTTCTGTTGCTGCTGTCCCTTGGTGGAGTAGGGGTTTTCTTAGCAGTATGTATAGCTAGGTGTGGGTTTTTTTTGGTTTTGGGTTTTTTTGGGGGACCTTCTCATGTTCATCTTGCAAGTTCCAGTCTCTCTTTCAAGATGGCATAGTAAGGAATCAGACGTTCATTCACGGTGGCTAGAGCAGCAGAGCCGACTTTGTGCCAGTGCATTTCCTTGAGGGAGAAAGGTGTTTTGCACTTTTCTGGTGTTAAATGGTTGTGGGCCGATGCCCTGTAATAGCCCAGTATGTTGCTTGAGTTCATTAGCGTACTGAAGGGGTTAGTTCTGGTTTGTTGGGCAACAAAACACTTGAGTACCCATTTGAGTAATCTGAAGTTCCACCGTGCAAGCAAAAGAATCGCTGCCTGTTTTGTTTTTTTTTTCTCCTGTAGAATTGTTACTCTTGATTTCATTAAGTACTGAGTTCAGCCTTGCTTAACATGGTTAAATTGTTGGATAGGGTCTTTACTTAGTAGTTAAGGATGTATTCAAGGCACGTCTACTCTGAAGCAATTTGAAGACCTGGACAGGCAAATGCAGCTGAATTAGAGATTTGACTGTATGCTGAGATACAACACTTAGCTGACTGTGCAATGCTGGGAGATAGTTACTGATTGTAGTTGATCGTGTCTTCAGTGTACAGCCAAAAGTCGGTGGTAGTGCACTACCTCATGGTGTTGCATTGTATCATCTGCATCCTTGATTTCAAGTGCTAAGACCAGTTGTATGTGACTAATGAGAGTCCTGAAGGTCTTCCATACAGATATGGAACTGGCTTGTACTTAGGAAGTCAAGAAGTTTCAGAGATGAAGTGGCTCAGGTGAAACAAGGTGCTACTACTGGTGGTTTAGGATGAGAAGCTGGCTTCTGAACTGGTAAATTGTGCTAGTATTAATACGATGCTTTCAGCCTTTACTGAAGGTATGTGAACAATAAGTGAGAATTACCTAGTTTCCTGCTTATCTTGAACTTCTGATACAACGTCAGGCTGTTCTGTAGAATACGTACAAGGTAACTGTCAAGGTCTACCTGTCAGAATTGATATTAAGCTTCCACTAACCTCAGCTGTCGTTTACTTGTGCCTGAGACAGAAGGCATAATATTAGACAGTGTCTGCAACTCTTAAAAAATTGTATCTTGTTTTTGAAAGTTGTAAAGGCCAAATATCTAGCTCAGATGTATATGCACTTATGTTAATCTAGTTTAGGTGAGGTCTGTAGGGTCACAAAACAACTGGGGCTAGTTTATAACAGTTAGGTAGCTTCACGGTCACCTAGACCTCTCGCCTTTCCTAGGAGGAAAATACAAGATCAGTGTAATGTAGATGGTCCCTGTTGGGATGTCATCTGAGTCTCACTGTTGCTAGTTGCCCGTAATAGGTTTTGTTTGTAACCAACCTGCTGTTACATTCCTAGTCATCTTCTCCTGGCAGGAGGTAAAATCCGTCGCCAAATGAAAGAGAACTGTTTATTTCTCATAGGTGTGAAGAATTTTTTTGCAGTCACTTTGCCAGGTACAGTGGATACCATAACAGTGTATGGTAAATTAATTTTGCTTGGCTAAAATACTCATTTTTCTTACGTTAAATATTCAACTACTGATACAATAGCTCTGATTTTTGCTGTTCCTTATGTTCCTTTTTTTTTTTTTTTTTTTACTGACACTTGTGGTTCTTAGTTTAACGGTTATTTTGGAATTTCCAGTGCAAAATGTATACTAATTTTGTTGGTGTTGGTAAATGTTTAATACTTCAGTCTGTATGAAGTAAACAGACATGAATAAGGAACTTGGAATATAAACATGCTTAATCTTTGCAAGACGATGTTAGGTGTATGTAAACAAATATAGTAGATGGTATCTGTAGGTAATTGCATGGTGTCATAAACAGTAGTCTGACATAGCCGTTGCCTTTTCTCATCTGCAGGTGTGTGTTGTTTCAGCGCAGCATGGCTGTGGTCATCCGCTTGCAAGGTCTCCCGATTGTGGCGGGGACCATGGACATTCGCCACTTCTTCTCTGGATTGACCATTCCTGATGGGGGCGTGCATATTGTAGGGGGTGAACTGGGTGAGGCTTTCATCGTTTTTGCCACTGATGAAGATGCAAGGCTTGGTATGATGCGCACAGGTGGTACAATTAAAGGGTCAAAAGTAACACTACTGCTGAGCAGTAAAACTGAAATGCAGAACATGATAGAACTCAGTCGTAGGCGTTTTGAAACTGCCAATCTAGATATGCCACCAGCAAATGCTAGCAGGTCAGGACCACCACCTAGTTCTGGAATGAGTGGAAGGGTTAACTTGCCTACTACTGTACCTAACTTTAATAATCCTTCTCCTAGTGTAGTAACTGCTTCTACTACTGTGCATGAAAGCAATAAAAACATATCCACATTTTCTACTGCCAGTATGGGGACTGCACCTCCAAATCTTGGGAGTACCTTTGGTAGTCCAACGTTTAGTTCAACTATACCTAGCACAGCATCCCCAATGAACACAGTACCTCCTCCACCAATCCCTCCTATCCCAGCTATGCCATCTTTGCCACCAATGCCTTCTATTCCCCCGATACCTGTTCCACCTCCTGTACCTACACTGCCTCCTGTTCCTCCGGTTCCTCCGATACCCCCTGTGCCTCCCGTACCCCCAATGACACCTATGCCTCCCATATCAGGAATTCCTCCTATGAATCCTCCACCCGTAGCACCTTTACCCACTGGAATGAATGGGTCTGGAGCAGCAGTGAATATGAACAGCGGCTTGAATCCATTGTTTATTGGTCCCATGAATCCTGTAAATCCTATCCAGATGAATTCTCAAAGCAGTGTCAAGCCAATACCAATCAATCCAGATGATTTGTATGTCAGCGTTCATGGAATGCCCTTTTCTGCAACAGAATCTGATGTGAAAGATTTTTTCCTTGGGCTCCGTGTGGATGCAGTCCATATGCTAAAGGATCATGTAGGTCGAAATAATGGAAATGGACTAGTTAAGTTTTTTTCTCCTCAAGATACATTTGAAGCACTGAAGCGAAACAGAATGCTGATGATTCAGCGCTATGTTGAAGTTAGTCCTGCAACAGAGAGACAGTGGGTGGCTGCTGGAGGCCACATAACTTTCAAGCAAACCATGGGTCCCTCTGGGCAGTCACACCCTCCTCCTCCCCAGGCTCATACTAGGTCCAAATCTCCTAGTGGACAGAAAAGGTCACGGTCAAGATCTCCCCATGAGCAGGGTTTCTGTGTTTATTTGAAAGGTCTTCCCTTTGAATCGGAGAACAAACACGTGATAGATTTTTTTAAAAAGCTGGATATAGTTGAAGACAGCATTTATATAGCTTACGGACCTAATGGGAAGGCAATCGGAGAGGGTTTTGTCGAGTTCAGGAATGAAGCTGATTACAAAGCAGCTTTGTGTCATCATAAGCAGTACATAGGGAATCGCTTTATTCAAGTTCATCCAATTACTAAAAAGGCAATGTTAGAAAAGATAGATATGATTCGTAAAAGATTGCAGAACTTCAACTATGACCAGAGAGAAATACTCATGAATGCTGAGGGAGAGCCAGGCTTGCCAAAATTGTGTGCGCATATATCTAATATTCCATACAATATAACAAAAATGGAAATCCTTCAGTTTCTAGAGGGACTGGCAGTAGAAGAAAACTCTGTACAAATACTTGTTGATAATAACGGGCAAGGGTTAGGACAAGCACTGGTTCAGTTTAAAGCTGAAGATGATGCTCGTAAGGCAGAGCGTTTGCACCGTAAAAAACTGAATGGAAGAGATGTTGTTTTGCGTTTGATAACTGTAGAAGAAATGAGAGATATTGAAAGAAACCCACCATCTCAAGGGAAAAAGATACTAAAAATACCGATACAAGGAAATGCGACTGTGCCGGGAGCACAAGGCACTGGTGGGGATGAGCATGCTTTCTTGGGAAATTCTAAAGATGCAAACAACGGTCCTCCATTTAATTTCCCTGGTAACTTCAGTGGGTCTGGCACATTTGGTCCTCCTCTACCACCACCTGGAATAGGTGGCTTTCCTGATTCTAGACCAGGAATACCTACTGTTGCAAGTAGCGGTTTGCCTGGTGCAGGTATTGAGGTCCCAGGTTTTGCAGGTGGTCCTGGTAATTTGAGTGGACCGGCAGCTTTTGCAGGGGGTCCTCAGACTTTTGGTAATGGTCCTGGCAATTTAAGTGGACCCCCTGCCTTTGGTGCTGGTCCTCCAGGAATTGCTACAGGTCTTGGACATTTAAGTGGACCTCCAGGGTTTGGACCTGGACCAGGAAATATACATATTAGTGGACCCCCAGGTTTTGGAACAGGGTCTGGGAAGCCAGGACCAACTGTCATTAAAGTGCAAAATATGCCCTTCACTGTTTCGGTGGATGAAATTTTGGATTTCTTTTATGGTTACCAAGTGATCCCTGGTTCAGTGTGCTTAAAATACAATGAAAAAGGCATGCCCACTGGAGAAGCAATGGTTGCATTCGAGTCTCGTGATGAAGCTATGGCAGCTGTTGTTGACTTAAATGACAGGCCTATAGGCTCTAGAAAAGTAAAACTTGTTTTAGGGTAGCTGTTAATATGAAGTAGTTGTAGAATAGATATTCATAGTGCTGTGATAAATGCATCCGGATTGGTTTTTATAGTATTTCCAGGATAGAACCTGTGGATTGTTTAAATTGTAAAACAGGCTGGTTTTGATAAGACAGAGCACTGGGTTAGCCATTACATGAGGAACACTGCAAGGATAGATGCGCAGTGCATTTTCCCGTACAAATACGTGGAGAAGCTAGACAGATTCTTATTCGTCATAGAAGTTTGGTAAACTATACTGGACACAGTGCTTATCAAGGAATCTAGATTGGTTTTATGTAGTTTTGGATAAGGGGAGTAGATAAAGTCAGTGAAGCTCTTCGGTGGGTGCTCTTGCAAGCCATTGTAAAATAGATAGCTATTTCTAGATTTGGTTAAAAGCTGGCTGCATTTGCTTTGTTTACAGGTCAAAGTTTGTTTAAAGTCCTGATTTTACTCTGCAACTGAACGAATTCTCAGTGTACACAGATTAATTGTTTTGTGTATGTATCTTTATTTTTTCCAAGATTCTCACTGTATGAACAGTTGAATTATGCCCATTGCTGATGTGTCTACCAAACTAATTCCTTTAAGTATGAGCAGAATCGTTCTGTAAAATTCAAGCTGTTCTTTGTGGAATAACCTTTAGTTATTTATATATTGCAATTATAACTGTGCAGAATAAGACTTTTGCCACAAGTATAGCTAACCTCAAACATTATCATATGAGTTTTATAGTACACTTATAAAACATTTGCAGTAGAAGTAACAACTTGAAAATATTCATTATTGTTTAAGTAGCTTGATTTGTTAGGATTACATGAATCAGTTGGGATAGGATCTTTCACGCTAGTTGGATATTGATGTTGTTTTTCTCATGTGTCTCTTGAACTACTTACATAGAGTCTCTCCTAAGAGAACCAAAGTGGTGATTATTAGTAGAAGATTGGAGTCCAGCTAAAGTCTTAAATCAGTTTATATATGAAAGAAACTTTTTATCTTCAGCAACTCTTTTGTGAATTACTGCTATGGGTGAATTCAGAGATAAAATTTATTTTTCTCCAAAACTTGAGAATACTGAGTTTACTATATATTTTTGCAATAAAGTTGTGCTGTTGTATTCAAAGTCTGTAAAGAGTTGCCATTTTCTTTGCTGTGCAGTAAAACCTTTCATGGAAAAACAATTGGAAAGGAAGTAATTACAGAAGTGAACAGTAGATTTTTTTTTTTTTTTGGTTTATCGTTGTTGACTTATGATAAATTTTAAACTTAGGCATTGCCTGAAAAATCCTGCTATTCCCTGCAAATCATTGTACTTAAACATAGTAAACTTTGAACCGTTTTGGTTTTTGGACAAAGAATAACAGTGCCTTTTGGTGTTGCATATCATGGAACACTGAAGCGTATGGTCAGGCAAAATTGAGAGGTGCAAGTGGCAACAGTTTTATTCATGTGGTGTGTAGGAGAGATTTGAAACCCTGTGCAGCGCTGCATCCTGAGAGGATTTCACAGTACAGGAATATATGGAAGGATTGTATAAAGGTGTACTTCAATAAAGAGGTGGTCGCATTACACAGATGCTTCTGTAATTCATTAGCATAATTTTGTTTTGACAGATTACTAGGTGGTCCCAACTTTGGAAAAGTCATGTGATTTGTATATACTGTTTAAAATTAAGCCTCCTGTTAATAAAACTGTCTGTCTCTGAAGCTTCATGTTATGCGTTTCAACAGTCTTTGGGAGTAATGTTTCAACAGCAGATCTTTGTTTCTTTTTTTTTTTTCTTTAAAAGTCTGAAAGTACTCTTGCTGATGTCAGAAAGATGTGTGATTAGGAGTCAAGCCTTTCAGTTTATTTTTAAAATTTTGCTCTTTGTTTTTTAAACAACTTTTATTAAAGTTTCATACTATATTGGAGTTATTTGGGTGCTTGTTTCTTCATGTTTCACATTAGAATAAAATTACTGAAAAGGAAAACTTGGCTTCATTGTTCACAGAATTGATTTAAGATAATAGTGTGTGTTGACTTGCGGAAACTGGTGATAACTTTTTCTCAAGTTCAAATGAATCACAACAATGCTTGCCTTGTTGTGAAATGTAATTAAACTACAGGTGTCTGGAATTAGATACACAGTTCTGTGTTACTGTCTTTTGATTTCATGTCTTGATCCTCTTGGTAATAGATACAGGGTTATCGGTGTTTGTGTTAGACATGGCATATGCTGCAAAACATGCTTGTGTGCCTGTTCCTTTGGACTTTCTAAAAGTGCAGGTTTGTTTTGGAAATCTTTCATTTTCTGATTCTTGATTTTTTTTCTGTATGGTTTTAAGATGTTTAAATGCTTATCTAAAAAAAGTGCAAACCAATACAAAAAGCCATTGGTCCTGGGAACACTGACATGGATGGAATGCTTAAGTGGAGGATTTGGGGTGGGGAAGGGGCACTTCATCTTGCCAAACAGTTGATGCTCCATATCTTTTAGCATAAAAGGGTAGTAAATTAGTTAGTAAATATCCCGCCTTCCTCGAGAGTAGGCCCTTGGAAGAAATAGGAAGTCGTAGCATATATAGAATTTCTGTATGTACTGTAAATAATATAGCTTCCATCCCAAGTAGTTACGCTTGATCCTTTAGAGCATATATAGAGAAATGTTCATAATCAAGTGTCACTTGCAAATATAAGAGGTTTTCTGTAACGACTCGCGTTCATGTTAGAAGCAGCCTTAAAAACTGCATGTCGTGCTAAATTATGAGGGTTACCCTTACATTAAGAGACTACATGGCTAGATTTGATAAAATTACTTCCTTTGCACACATTTATATTTGTGAACAGCCTTAAAAATAAGGGGTAGGACCTCTGAGGTCCTGTCTCCCGTGTGGAAGGTATGTAACTGCCCTTGCACGTACACTTCAAGTCTGGCTGCTAAGGGGAGGTAGCAACAGAAAGAATCAGCTGATGGACACTGCTCAAATTTGCAGTTGTTTTGACCTTGGTGCTTTGAGTGTTGGGAACTGCCGTCCTGCTTAGCCTCACTGGAACAACACAGTCGGTGACACTGTCCCAATTTCTTCAAGTTATGGAAAGAAGGTATTTGTTGTTATATAACTGGCTAAGTTGGTGTTTTTTGCAGTTCCTGAAGTGTTAGTGTCTAAGTACTACTTGTAAAAAAAAAAAAAAAAAAAAAAAAAAAAAAAATATATATATATATATATATATGTAAAAATTGTTGCATTCATGAGGTGATTTCTGTTAAACATACGTATTTTTATCATCCCGTTGACAAGAGAAAGTATGAGTATAATAAATTACTCAATGACAAACTTGTAACCGACATGGAAGAACTGCAGTGGTTAGATGAAAGTGTGACTTTAAAGTTACCACTTTTTCAAGCAGTTACATGTAAATGTCTCAGTTTTTGTTTTTAATGTTGTGAATTTTTTTAATGAAAGTCAATCCTGTAATGTTACGGACAACATTAAAACCAATTCTTTATTGATGACTTTTTGCCACGTTCTAAATGTAGATATATGAGAAGTTTGAGGCTTTGTAGGTTTAAAGAAAACTGAAGGATACTTTTCTTATTCTAAGTAGTGTTCCTATCATAGCATTTAATGTTTTCCTTGAATGTCTGCGCTCTGAATTTGTTGTGAGTGGAGAGGAAGATCAATGCACAAATGAAGACTGTAGTCGTGTGCCAGTTAACGTGGAAGGTCTGTACATGCTGGTCAGTTCTGCTAAACTGCCCAAGCTTAAGTCCTTAAAGATGTTGTTGCCTGGGCTATGTAAAATTAGCAGCTTGTTTCGCTGAGGCTATTTTGTGCACTAAAGATTGTGGACTCTAGGAAGAAAACCCAGTCCAGTAACCTAGGCACACCAGTGGTGTGTTAACTGTAAATAACGATTTCAGTTTCTGTATTTTGTTCCTCCTAGTCTTCTGCTGTGGTGGTTCCAAAGCTGCTGTTTCCTGCAGCGAACTCTGTTGGTCCTCAGCATGTTGTTCAGCATTGCGTGTCTCTGAACAGCATTGGCCTTCTGATCTGCAAAATTGAAACAACTACATATTATAGACCACTTAAAGCCGTTGGTCGAACAATGGACCACTCTGAGAGCAGTTGTTTTAGGATGATTATCCAGATACATGGATTAGACCCCGAATGAAAGGATTGTAGTTCCTGTTTAATATAGACTCTAGGGCAAGCAAAGGACTGCTTTCTGTCTTTGACAAGATAATTGGTTGGAAGGAAGCTGTTTTGAATCTGGGCTAGTATATTAGGAAATGTTAGTTTGAGTCTACAGACATAAACAAAATAGTCTTCTGTCAGTTTGCTTCTTTAGATACTGTGCATGTCTTTAAAAAAAGGGGTTTTTGTGTGTCTAAAAAAAGGGGGGGGGGGGGAAGACATGCTGAATTCTGTTGCTGTAAGAGGTTTTCAGAAATGGTGCCTTGGGCCTGGAAGCAGTGTTGCCAAATATATTTGCTGGTCTTTGCCCTTTTGCAGGTTTGCTGATGCTTCCTTCTCTTCTGTGTCTGTATGTTCTGTCATGGTTTTAGGAAAACTGCTAGAACCAATGACTCTTCCTCCTGGTGCGACAGGAAGTGAAACTTTCTGTTAAGTATTTCTGCAGGAAGAGTAACCTCAAGGGGTTTTCTTCCTATCTGGTTTTGGCAGTGAGAATGTGATTGTAGTTGAAAGATTTGGCTTTCCCATGGAATGAAAATCTGTTGGTTGGTAGTATGCATTCGACTTAAGGTTTGTAGCTGCGTACTGAACTCCACTACTCCTTCCCTGTCATGTGAGCAGGTAGGTGTTCTCCAGTTTATTTTCTGTACAGATGACTTTGTCAGTAATTTTCTTGGAGCTTTGTTACTACATGGAATATTTTGGATGGTGTTTGTGCAGGGAGTGCTTCCCACCTTCCTGACTTCGATGCTTTTCACTTATGGGTACAAAGAATGTATGTAAGAAAAGCAGCCCTGAAAGCGTTCCT